TTATCTTGCAAATATATTGTTGTGTATGGGATGGCTAGTGCTCCAGCATTAGTGCTGAAAGGGGGAGGTTTCCCAGACTTGCGCTCTCCTGGGGGCAGATTTAGAACCTGCCAGTACGGCTGACTCCTCTTTTGACTTGCAATATTTGAGGTGGGTCGCAGAGATGATGCATTTGCATTTGCATGGAACAGCGACAAAAGAGAATGTTCAAACCCAAAGCATTCTGAAATCTGAAGCTCCCTGGAATTAGTTCACCATGATAGGACTTGTCACGCTTTTGCGCTAAGGGGGTGGATATTAGTGCCTTTCCATCTTGTTCCAAAATTGTCAGATAGGATTCCCTACCCTGGGGCTCAGTTACCTGCCTGCTGGTTAAAGACTTGGTTAGCCACTATTGAAAGGGAAGCTAAAGTAGACTAAGGCTTTGGTAAAACTCAGGATTTTTCTGCTATCAACTTGCACTTACATTTTGTTTTTTTTCTCTCTGCAGGAATTTTTCAGAAAGCTAGCGTACCACAGGAATGGAAGAAAACACTGGTAAGTACTCTCCTGGATCCCCATACCACAGTTTGTTGGTCTTTTTTCCTTCAGCCTTGGTTCTCCTACATTTTCATAACGAAATGGTACTTCCTTAATTTCTGGGTCTTGAATCATAAATGTCCAAATGGTAGGATAAAAGACAACCAGAAAGATAAGAACTAATGCTGTATAGCACCTATGCAGCACTTCAAAGACCAGATTCTGATCAGTTAAAATGTTGTAAACCTGGACTATCTTTATCAAAGGGTACGTCCAGACTGCCCACTGAATCGGCGGGTAGTAATCGATCTATCGGGGATCGATATATCGCGTCTCGTCTAGACGCGATATGTCGATCCCCGAACGCGCTCCCGTCGATTCCTGAACTCCACTGGAGGGAGCGGCGGTAGCGGAGTCAACAGGGAAGCCGTGGCCGTCGATCCCGCTCCGTGAGGACCCGAGGTAAGTCGAAATAAGATACGTCGACTTCAGCGACGCTATTCCCATAGCTGAAGTTGCGTATCTTACATCGACCCCACCTTCTCATCCCCCCACCCCGGTGTAGACCAGCCCAAAGATACTCTGGATCTCACAGGTGAGAGGGATCAGAATTGATTCTGCAATCCTCAAAGCACTTTACAGGCAAGTAGCCATTACAGTTTTACAAATGGTGAAACTGAAGCTTGCCCAAAGCCACACACTGCAGTTCTGTGGAAAGACAGGGCTTAGAAAACAGTAGCTGTAGTCCTAGTTCCATATTTATTCCCCTAGACCGTGCTGCCATGTGAAAGATGTAGGGTTCTTTAATTTAAAAAAGCTGATTGTAGAGTAATTGCCTTAGGCACTGCATGACTTGCTCTGAGGCAAACTGATCAACGTGTTAGTTAAACCTGATCTGTGATGCAAACTGGATTTGGCCTCAGTTCAAGTGGTAGAGATCTGCATAGAATAAGGGCTTTTTCTGAATGGCTACAAATATTGTCAATAGGCAATAGAAAAAAGCAGCCACCTGGCTAGAAACTGCTTTTTTTTGCAAACATTTCATCTTCCCTTCATCAGAAGGAGTCGATCTCTCTTTCTCTCTCTCACCCACCCACCCACCAATACAAATTTGGGTGCATTTCACCTTACGTCCCATTGAAGTATGGTGTTAATTCATTCCATGGCTGCAGGCTAACATCTTAAATAATGAATCACTTAAGATGAAGTCATAGCAAAGATTATCCTCAGCTTTGCATTGGATATACAAGGGCCCCTTTTTAAAAAGTCTCTCTAATTAAATTACATTTAAATGCCAGCCATTTATTGGATCACTTGCAGTTTGTAATGAGCTGTGACGTAAGCAAAGTAATAAAGTTGCGTGACCACAAATCTTGCCCGTGGGGCGTCCTCACAGAGACAAATTATATCAACCTTAACTAGGGAATTGAGCGATGTTCAACAGTGGCATTGTCTTCGTGCAACAATGGCAGCACCTTTGTGTGAAGGCCAAGTTAGGACTTTGTGGAAAACTGATCTCCTTGACCCTAATGGGTCAGCTAGAACAGTTCTTCTTTCTGTGCCAAAGTGAATATGCATAGAAACTGCTCGTGGTGAAATTCCTGGTAACAAGTTACTGCTGTGCACTGTGATAGCCTGTAACGTGAATGCTTTTTTCATACTATTCCCCTTTTCCTCCAAAAAAAGTTGCTTTGGGACACGTTAAACTAACTTGCAACTGACAACTTTTTAAGTAAATGACTTCAGTGCTGGTAATAGATGCTGGAGTGATGGCCATGGGGATGGAATCTTTCCGTTTATCCACAGAACAGACAGCAGCAGCGCAAGTTTCTGTCGCCCCCCCAGTATGCCTCAGCTGGTACTGAAGGGACTCTTCTGGGGAGGGGCTGCAATGCAGATTGTGTTATCTAGTTAATCCTGAGCCTCTCTGCTGAGACTACCAGCAACCAGTTTGTGTCTGTGTCACAAAAGCCATCATCTGCCCACTGGCAATTGACTTAGACCTCAAATTCATTTTACAGAGGCCAGCAAGCAGCCATCAGATTACAACCAATCTAGCTCACTCTTGACCTTGACTGCTCTAGTGACCTGGAGGTGGAAAGCTCTAAATCTCATTACCATTCTCCTGAGCCATGC